TTGTTGTTAGGAGTTCTAAATTAACCATGTTTCTGCTACCCAATGGCGGATCACTGATCTCCTGTGATCGTCCTCGTGCGAGATATTTCTGTGAAGTTGCCAAATTTTTCTGCATATTCACGCAATGAAGGGGAGGATAATTGGATAAAGTGGAGAGAGAAAAGAGATAATAGGACTGCGTGTGCGTGGCCCACTGTTTTCGGCTCATCGATTGGTTGCAGAAACCGGCTTTTAAGAAGGAGCCCCCGGTTTCCATAGGGGACATCTGCCGCCTCTGTTCCATGGGTCGGTTCACAGGCACTGCCAGCCACCGCTCATTATGACACTCCACAATCCTATCTCAATTCTTATCGGGATCTAAACTTATGGTGTGCTGCCCAAATGGCTCGCACCTTTTTTAACTCCCTTAATACACCTATTGCTCTGTTTATTCAGGATCCTATGAGATACAAAACGTAGACACTGTCATCCGTTGAGATGCTTATGGACCCAAATTGACATTGTTACCCACTTGGGTTGATAAATTTTCGTCCTTAGTTGAGCCCAATAAACGGCTTACCGTTTAGCCATCTGATTGTTTTGCGTGCTCGTAACCCGCCATTTTAATAAGTGTATTTTCGTGGGCGTAAGTGACACCCTGAAGTGATCTCGTCTCGTCCCAACAAATACAAATAGGGATACTTTTAATATTCCCAGACAAAGTCAACCTCAGAGTATTAATATGGCGTCTTCCATGGTCTTGACAAAAACGGAAGGAAATTGGAGTCATAGGTCGGATAACCTTTACCAAGTCCTTTGATCACCCGAACCTGCGACCCATAACCCCATCCCTTGTCCTTTGAAGGTCGCTAGGGCCAAAAACAAGCCTACCTTCCTGGGCTCTCATGGGTTCATTATAATTTTCAGGAATAATGCAGCGATTATATATGCGTCTTTCGTAACTCGCTGACCCTTTCAGAATTATCTGACTGAATCCATGATCAAATAGGTACAAGGCGTGGTTAAAAGGTTTCGATTACTAGGAGTGAAGCACTGTCATTAAAAGACAAAATAATGATAATGAAAACTAGAGTTATTTTCTTTGGTAGATAGAGCAGAGGAGATAAAAGATGAATTTACATTCACGTCATAGTAGCCATGAGGCAGGCTATTACAAGCTAAAACTCCAGACGGGTTGGGAAGATATAATGAAAAGACAGAGATCCTAATTCCTATAGAATCCTTTTTTGCTCCTGCCTCGAGACATTATGCAGATACATTGTCTAGCCTCTTGGTAGACATTCGTTTCAAAAACTCGTAGGTAGTAATCATGGTTGTAGCAGACACGGACATTGAAGCCCACCTTGGTCCCAATCCTCTGTAACAAGCAATAAAGCCTCCTTCCTTCACCAGATTCCTAACAGTCTGCATAGCAGTTAATGGCTTCCTTCGTCCATTCTCCTCTGCATCCAAAACCTGCAACCTTGTCTTGATAGTGTCAAGTGGCATAGTTATAATGGCCGAAACCCCACTGGCCACAACTGCACTTAACCCTTGGACTGCAACCATAGCCTTGGAATCAGGTCTAAAACAATAGCCATTGGCCAATTTGCTATCATCCTTCTTACCATATAGCCACCAAAAGTACCCCAGATGAGCCTATGGACCATAGAGTAAGAAGTCCACCATACAGCATTGGACGGGGCATAAGTCAATATGGAAATTCCGAATCCCCTATACAAACCTCGCAGCCCATCGGTGCAAAGAATTTTCCTGAAGGCATCAAAACCATTCCTGTAATTCCCACAATGAACACTGGAGAGCACGTTACTGCTACCGCAAACCATGAGTCTTTGACTCACAACATCAATTGGGGTCCAAACTAATTGTGCTGCCATAGCAGAGCTCACTCCTGCAGCTGCATTACCTATGGCGGTGGCGGTGGTATCTGAAAACCCCAAACCAGCAATAGCAGAGCCAACATTGCTCTTGGTCACCTCAAGTGCACCCATGTAAAGTGCCCGAGCAGGGATTGTTCCAGTCAAAGAGGTACCAAAACCTTTGTAAAACCCTCTAAAGCCTTCATAGCGCATGATGGAAAAAGACATCTGGAAGCAAGAAATCTGAGAAGAACAAACCTGCTGGCGGGTCTTTAACACAATAATAGGATAAAGGGCGGTAGATACACCAGAAAATAAGGCGGCGCCTAAGAAGAAGAATTTGGATTTGTCAAGCATGTGCCAGTCTATTTCTGCTGGGATATGAATTTCCGAAGCCGAATCGTCCTCAGCTGCACCTAAACTCATCTTCGCCACTTTGGAGAAACCACTCTAACGGACAGACGAATTCGGGAAGACCCTTAACAGACAGTTTCCCTTACCACTGTAAAGCCAAATCCTGATCCAGAAAGGACCAAGCCAACTATTGTTTGCTCAACAATCCCGGAAAAAGAACATTAAATTGATCTAGTAATAGCACCGAGCAAGGTGAGCTCGGGACTGATCAGGAAAATACGGAGAAATAGACAAGGCAAAGACTGAAAGAGGAGGAGAGTAAATAGTTGTGGTGATAAAAGAAAAACCAGGAAGTAGGTTGAGGTGGAGAAATACAATTTTGTGATTTTCTTGTTGCGAAGACAGATTATGGAGCGGGCGGGGATCACCAGAAATGGTTCAGACATTTCTAGAGGAGAGAGAAACAGATTGGGAACAGACCATAGTGCTTACCAGAGAAGTATGGACCCTGATCATTTTTTCCTTTTTTTTTTTGGAGTAGCTCATCAATTCATCATGTCCCAATCAAGCAAGTCGATTGAGAGAGGACGCAGAGAAAGATAAAACCTAAGGAGCAAGAGAACCAGAATTTGAGAGAGGGAGGGAGGGGGGAAGAGAAACGATCCAATAGAGCTGAGATTAGCAATGATACGATGAAGTCAAGAGTGGAGCCACAGAGACAAGAAGAGGGGTGTCTAAAAAGTTTAACGAAAACATGGAAGGAGGTTATGCAGCTTAGTGAGGGTTTTGGGGCTCCACAGAAACGGACACGTGTCGGTTGCCATATCGGTGGCTCTGACGTTCTTCTTCCTCTCCGTCCCGGAGTGTGAAGCTGACCAAATACCATGGGTGACCCACCCCGCTTACAAAGTACTCCTTCCCCCGGTTTGTGCTCAATCTGTGCCCTCCACGTCTAATCCGTTTCTAATAGGCGCTTTGTATTTTTAGCCCTCTGAAGTTAGCGCTTCCCATGAAATTAAAGGCTTACCATTTCTTCTTCTTCTTTTCACCAGAAAAGTCATATTATTTCTTACTTGTGACTAAATTCTTATGTATTTTTTACAGATAATTATCTGTTCTCAAATTTTTAATCATAAGAAAATAAATATATAAACTTTCAATAATAACATGGTATAATCGTTATATATCAAGTATAATTGTCATTGAATTATAAAGTTATTACGTCATTATCAAAATTTGAAAACTTATAATTGTCCTGTTTTGGTAAAAATAAAGTCAGAATGAATATATAAAAATTACATTTTACTCTAATATAAACAATAGGCCGTACAGAACATAACTTGCCGACTTTTGGGATACCAGCTACTCAGGAGGCCCATTTGGTCTTGGTCCAAAAAGTAATTTCTTTTACCACAGGTCCGAAAAGTACTTGATGCCACACCGTTTGGGCTTTTTTTTTTTTTTGAATAAAGGGGAAATATATGAAAACCAATATTTACAGAGGAGAAACAACCAGACTAGGCAGTAGTGGTTATAGAGTTAAGAACCTCTGCTGCCATAGTGGTATGATGCGCTAAACTGTGCGCTATTCGAATAATACAATCCGGCGTTCTAGACTCATTGCTAAAGATGATTCTATTCCTATTATCCCAAAATTTCCAAACGAGGATGCCAAAGAAGATTCTCCACTGAGTGCTTGAGTAGTGCGGGTTGAGTTCCGTGCTATCCGTTGGTCCATGGGAAGCTGGAAAAATTCCTGCCTCCTTGAGGGTGGGATGACTTTCAGCCAACAGTTAAAAGCAACGGGGCAGCGCCGTAGGACATGGTCAATATCTTCAATTTCGCAACCACATATTTCACAGGCAGCACTATGAGTCATTCTCCTCCTGACTCGTTCCACATTCGTTAGGAGGCGCTGCTTCAAGATGAGCCAAAGGAAGGTTCTAATTCGTTGCATTCCCGGCCATTTCCAGGCTAGGTTCCAATTGTTATTCTGATTTTGCCACACCGTTGGGCTTTTAACATCTCACACATGTTAAGCCCGATGTTATCCTGGCGTCAGTGGTATCGGGGGGCCTCGGGGGATAATGTGGTACGAACCTTTGTTCTCTTTTTGGGTAAAACTTTTGAAGCTTTGAATGAATCATTATTCGTCAAAAAGCGTCTTAGTGAGCATGGGTTATGAGATGCGGGTTTGTACCCTGGGCTTCAAAGTACCTTAAGTTCAGTAATATGTTCGTCGCCAGGCCATAACTATGGAATGGTTGCTTCTACCTTGGGCTTTCACACTTCCATAGTCTATTCGCAAGCATCATAGACTTCCATGTTTAAATTACAGACAATTTCAAACCCACATGACTTGATCCAAGTAGTAAGCGGCTTGATATCGCTTAAACGAGGTCTCGAATTTGAGTCTCAGCGTATGTAAAAATCTCTGTTAAAAGAGACTCACCCACTATACGCGACGCGGGTCGGATTCAAATATAGTCAGAACAAAACTCCGAACTGACAGTTTCTTTTTTGGCGGAAAATTGTAAGAGGGTGTGAAGTGGTGGTTTTTTTTTTGGCCTTTAAGTGGTGGTTAGAACTTAGGAGAAGCTTCAATGGTATTCTTTGAGGAGACAATTCTAGAGACACATCAATGGAATGTAAAAATGATCGAAGTCGAGAACACTCGGGTTAACTTCCTTTTCAGAAAATCGCCTATAAATAGGGGGTACTCTGTTGCTTTAGACTTCAACCAACAGAAGTTCAGAGTCCCCTGAATTTTCAATTTGCATACCGCAGAAATGGACTTGAGGAACGTGGGTGTGGAGTCGCCATTACTGTCGATGCTGGAGGACATGCTGGAGCTGTCAGAGGAGGCGGAGAAAGGAGGAAGGAACAATCCATCGAGGGCTTACGTGAGAGACGCGAAGGCGATGGCGGCGACGCCGGCGGACGTGGTGGAGTACCCGGACCGTTACTTGTTCGTGGTGGACATGCCGGGGATCAAGGGGAGCGAGATGAGGGTGCAGGTGGAGAACGACAACGTTTTGGTAGTGAGCGGGGAAAGGAAGAGAGAGAAAGGGAAGGAGAAGGAAGAAGGCGTGAAGTACGTGAGGATGGAGAGGAGGGTGGGGAAGTTCATGAGGAAATTCGTGATCCCCGACAATGCGGACAAGGACGCCATCTCTGCAGTTTGTCAGGACGGAGTGCTTACGGTTACTGTACCAAAGTACCCACCCCCCCAGTCCAAGAGGCCCAAGACCATTGAGGTTAAGACTGCCTAATCACTCAGATCATCCTCTTTTCCTGCCTCTAATTGCCTCTTTGATGCGTGTTGTGTGTGTGTGTGTCCCCAAATTATACAGCGATTACCAAAAATGAATGCATGTTATGTACGGCTTCCAGTAAATAAACAAGTTTCCTTTGATTTGGTTTTACCTCGGTTCTTTTCTTTTTTTTTGGTCAAAGTTTTACCTCGGTTCCATTATCTATCTCTATCAAGACTCGACTCATCATTTCTAATTTTGGGGCGAAACTGCGCCTCTGTGCTCCCGGGGCCACTATTTGAGACCGTAACATGGGATTAGTCATGCTGCCGGACCAAAATTTCCTTTTATTCAAGGGCATAAGTCAGATAAATATCCAAGGAAAAAAAAAAGCTAATAACTTCAAATTCAGAAAAAAATGTAGAAGGAGTTGGACAACCCTTAAAAGTGCTCTAAAAAAAAACTCCTCTACATATTTACTTAGTAAATTATAAAGACAATTTTAAAACTATAGTTTGATTTTTGCTTAAATATCCAGGTAATATTCTTTTCTAATTCCGCCGTTTACGTTAGACAACATCATTAAGCAAGATATAAATAAAAATCACACGCAAACACATACACATATATAGTATCCAATTCTTAATATAAGGGGGTTGATTTAGTTTTTAATATAATATTTTAATTCATTTTGGCTTCTATTTTTTCTCAAAAATATTCATATTGGTTATAGAGGATTCATCTAATGTACATGATCAAAAAAAATAATTTAAAAAGACCAACACACATTAATAATAAATAACCTATCTAATTGATTTTTTTTATATTTAACTCTTTTATAAAAGAGCGAAGGTGGTATGTATGTATATATATTGTCACATTTTGCTCTTTTATCTCCAAATTCTTTTGCAAATTTTATACTTAAAAACATCAAATGATATGTTCGATTGTTCTTAATTTTAAACATAAAACATAAAAAAAAAAAATAGAAGAATTGCATTTGTATTAGTTATTACAGCGAATGTTTTCAATGCAACTTTGTAAAAAGACATTCAAGAATAAAAATAAGGGTACATAATAAAATAGTTTAGGAGCTTAATGTCTTTTAAACATGGCGTCTCATAGATGAAAAGGCACCATGGGCGGGCTGTATAATACTCGAAATTGAATTTTACGCAAAAATATAAAAATTGTGAAGGATAACTTTAATTATTTAATTGTTGATACCCTTTCTTCTAGAAAGGACGTACGGTTTCATAAAGATAAAAAAAAAAAAAAATTTGTTCCCCATAAGCATAGACGCGCTGCCATACCGTAAACAACCAGAGATGACGTAAAAGCCAGTTTTTTAATTGGCAAATGGACGGAGTTAGAGAGGGGTAAGAACAGGTTCGGTTTAATTTAGTTTAACTTTCAGTGGTAGATTAAGTAATATCCACTACACTCTTCTGGACGTTAGTAGAAGACCTGTAGAACCTCCTGGAACTTCCCAATAATAGCTCCCTGTTCTCCAGAAATTTCTAATGTCTTCCACCAACCTTTTGCCACCCCTTTAAAAGCTCTAACCAAAAGCCTTCCGTTGCACCGAAAGATCACTAGCATTTAGAGCTCTCTCTACAACAAATACTGGTTTCAGAAGGAAAAGCGCTTGCCTTCGCAGTTAGTAACAACGCAGAGGAAAGCGATGGATTTCAGGATCATGGGCTTGGAATCGCCATTATTGAGCACAGTGCAGCAAATGATGGACTTTACAGATGACGCTGCCGCTGATAAATCCATTAACGCTCCGAGCCGGACGTATGTGCGTGATGCCAAGGCCATGGCTGCGACTCCGGCGGACATCAAGGAATTTCCCAATTCCTACGAGTTTATCGTCGATATGCCTGGGTTGAAGTCTGGGGATATCAAGGTTCAGGTCGAGGATGATAATGTGCTTCTGATCAGTGGCGAGAGGAAGAGGGAGGAAGAGAAAGAAGGGGCCAAGTATGTGAGAATGGAGAGAAGGGTCGGTAAGTTCATGCGCAAGTTTGTGCTCCCTGAAAATGCCAATACAGACGCCATCTCCGCCGTGTGTCAAGACGGCGTGTTAACTGTAACTGTTCAGAAATTGCCTCCGCCTGAGCCGAAGAAGCCGAAGACCATCGAGGTGAAGATTGCTTGAGGGCCGTGAACCGGCATTTGCATTTCTGTGCCTGTTAATACTGAACGTTTTGTTGTTACTTAGTGCGAGTAGTGCTGTGGGTTTGTTTCTGGTTTGGTTGTGTGTCTGATTCCAGCGGTGTAATAGTTTCATGGTTGGTGTGTCTTTTCCCCTCTAGCTATTGTCGTTGAGTTTTCATTAGTATTGGTTCTTCACTGCATATATCCGTTATAGATCCTGGATTATCAGACTTCTTTGTTTTCTCTGTTTTTTCGTAGAATGATATCAGTGTCTTATTGCCACTTTCTTGTTCCCCTTTAAGTGACGGTCTTGAGCTGAGGAGTTGAAGAGTACATTACTTTGAAGAAACAGAGAAATTAGAAATAGATTGGCGTAAGATGAAGAATAAATTGAGGAGAAGCAGATAAAGAGTGGCCGAGGAAATAAATACAGCAATTCCAAAGTCCAGATTTATCACTGAAAAATCATATTTTCCATTCGTGAAAGTACACATACTATTTAGAAGCTTGAGAGAATCAAACAAGCAGATTCTAACTCCATCAGGTCTCTATCAACTGTATTTGTGGCAAAAACTATCTAACCTAGGGAAGACTGGGCAAGACCGGGGGACTGGTGGGAGGCATTGCAGAAGCTCCACAGAACATAAATGGTCAGAAGCTGAGACTGAGACTTGTAATATGAAGAAGCCTTGGATGAAGCGGAAGAGGTGTCCACTGAGTACGTCTGTGTTTGGTTGGGATCAAGTCTGGATGCTCAAATGCATCTTATCCATGGTATGTGAAATTAAGTTGTCTGAACAACAGTTGAGCATTCTTGATGTGACGAGACCAAACAGCGGGAGCGGATGCTTGCTCACTGCTCAAACAGTAACTATGTCTAGATCTAACTAAATATAAAAACACTACGGATCCTACATGCAATTAAAGAAATTCAAGGGGTCTTGAACACTTATCTTGGAGATTGACGTGCTTCCTTCCTTTTTTTCTCACAAGTGGTTAGAGGCCAAGACGGGTGGTTCTGTTTCCTGGAACGGCGTATGCGTGAAGAAATTTCTGGACAAGAAAAAAAGGAAGGAGCAAAATGGTTACTTAAATCCTGTAGTCGTAATATCAAGCGTCAACTGAAAGCAAACGAAAGAAAATTGGGCGGGAAGTAGCTCTTGTCCCTTTTGACTTCTTCCGTGGTGGCATTACACCCTTACAAGCACCGAAGACATCCCGTTCAGAAATTGCAATTTCCAGGGTCGTCTTTCCTCCAAGCGATAATTTAATAGACGCCACCGAACTCGAAAAGTGGACGTGCTACTTCTTTTTTTGTATTTTGAGTATAAAAAATAGATAACTAATTCGAATTGGGTATTGATCTTTTTAAATTATTCTAATTATACATAGTCGGTTATTGATATTATCTTTTAGTAGGAATCTCTTAGAATCAATAGGAATGTTTTAAACAAAAATATTAGACAAATAAATTGAAGTTCTATATTTGAGAGTGAACCTGACTCTAAGCAACGAAAACAACTGTTGAAACTATGCCGGACAAATTAATTCGAAAAGTGGACGTGCTACTTCTGTTTTTGTATTTTTAGTATAAAAAATAGATAATTAATTCGAATTGGGTATTGATCTTTTTAAATTATTCTAATTATATATATTTAGTTATTGACATTATCTTTTAATAGGAATCTCTTAGAATCAACAAGAACATTTTAAACAAAAGTATTAAACAAATAAATTGAAGTTCTATATTTGAGACTGAACCTAACTCTAAGCAACGAAAACAACTGTTGAATGTAACGTCCTGAGTTTTATCGGGTTTTAATAACCTCTTTTGGTTGATTTTGAAAATAGATTAGTAATTTAAATGTTGATCTTGGTGTTTGGATTGGAATTGAGGTATGTTGGAGGAATATGTGAACGTACCCCTCTCAAGGTATGTTCGCTGCGGCGAACCGAGAGTTTCAGGGGGGAGTGTCTTCTCGGGAAGGTCTCGTTGCGGCGAAGGTAGGGGTATGCCGCGGCGAAGATTTTCTGGGCGAGCGAGAGTTTCCTCTCAGAAAGCTTTCGTCGCGGCGAAGATTGGAGTTCGCCGCGGCGAAGTCAGGTTTTTCAGGCGAGTAATCCCTCTTGGGATTAGTTCGCCGCGGCGAAGGGGTCCGAATCTATATAGTCGCGGGAGGGTTTAGTTGTGCGAAAATTAGAAAAATCTGAGGTAGAGAGAGAAGTTCTGCTAGGGTTTCGGTATTTTGGCTTGGAGGGGATATTTCTAAAGATCCATTACCTCAAGTAAGTGATTTTAACCTCTAATCTACTTTCTTTCTTGGAATTTCTGAGGATTTGTGGTGAAACCCTAGAATTTTCTAGGTTGTGATGGAATTGAGGTTTTTGACCGATTGTTTTGAGTTTAATTGATTGCTTTGAGTTAGTTTAAATTTTTAATCGGTGTAGTTTTCTTGGATTTGAAGAACTTAGAGTTTTTTTGAAGTTAGGGTTTATGGAAAAGGGAGTTTTGTAATTGAGGATGATAATGTAGAGGTTGATTTTGAGTTTTGTGAATTGAGTTGTGTTAAGGGGGTTAAATTGGATGTTTAATCGGTTTGGATTGTTATTAGAACTTTAATTGTTCAATGGGATGTTTGGGTGTTAAATTTCTTATAGTGGGTCCTTAAGATTTGAACTCTAATTGATGCTTGGAAGGGGATTTAAGGTTTTAATGGATTTTTATGACTTTGGAGTGTTGTTTTGATGGTTATACCCTTTGAGTTGGGTAGAGTTTTGGTTGGAGCTAGGAATTTTGTGTCCCCAAGTGTTGTTTTGGCCACATTATTAGTTGAAAGCTAATACATGGTAGTTGTGTGTTTGTGTGCTTGTGTAGACCGGTTGTGAGCCTTGTTAGTGCACGGGGCCGTCTTATTGGTTTGTTATTCCTTGCTCAGGCGAGAGGTAACCACTTTCCAATCCTTAGTACTTGTTTCTGTGGTATTCTGAGTAGATTTATGTTTTGTGCTCCGAGTAACAATTATATTCAAAGTGTATGTTGTATATATAAAAAAAAAAAAAAGAAAAACCGTCTTGTGGGGTTCCGATTGATGATGAATGAATCTTGAAATTGTGAAATATATGCCACTGAAAGAAGTTAATTATGAAATGTTCAATTACTATTTGATTATGGTTTGAGCATGATGCATGAATTGGGAATTGGTGAGAGTTTTTGATAGTTACTACCACGTGGTAAGGCCTCAATTAATGCATTATGGTTGGCTCTTTACGTCCCCCATAGTGAGGGATAGGCCGGGTTTGGCTCTTGAAAATCCCTCAAAGTGAGGGATATGGTTGATGGAAATTGCATCATTGCACTTGCATGAATTGTTGTGGCTATCATTTATAATATTATTTGTGAAATGCCCCACTTAACACCTCACGAGCACCTATTTAGTAGTACCTTGAATTGGAAAGGTTGATTACTGGGACGTTTGTCTCACCCCGTGGTTTACAATGTTTTCAGGTGAAGGTTCTAGGCGTGCGCTTTCGGGAAGAGACGCAGAGGCTTGAGCTTGGTTAGCTTTAAGCCTCTAGCCTTTGTTTATGTATGACCAGTTGTATATTGCCACAGTAGGGTCCTTTGAAATATTTTGATTGCCCGGCTTTATAGTAAACCGGAGGAAGTGTATCTTCTCACTTTTAATTGGCCGGAGGGCCTTTCTATTGTTTGTGGAACTTTGATTTACGTTGTTGGAAACCATTTGTATGGGCTGATGTAGATGTATTTTGTTACCCGGGCCGGAGGCTCGGAGGCCTAGTGGATGTGAATGAATGATTTTAGTTGCATGCAACGGAGTTTGGATTTGACTCGAGTTTGGAAAGTCAATTCCTAAAAATATACAAATTTCTTTCTACTATGATAGTTCATTTTAACAGATTTCCTTTTCTACCATAGTAGTGAATTTTATGATTTGAGGTAAAAGGGTTTTACATTGAAACTACGCCGGACAAGTTAATTCGAAAAGTGGATGTGCTACTTCTTTTTTTGTATTTTTACTATAAAAAATAGATAACTAATTCGAATTGGGCATTGATCTTTTTAAATTATTCTAATTATATATATTCGGTTATTGACATGATCTTTTAGTAGGAATCTCTTAGAATCAACAGGAACATTTTAAACAAAAGTATTAGACAAATAAATTGAAGTTCTATGTTTGAGACTGAACCTAACTCTAAGCAACGAAAACAACTGTTGAAACTACGCCAGACAAGTTAATTCGAAAAGTGGACGTGCTGCTTCTTTTTTGGTATTTTAGTATAAAAATAGATAACTAATTCGAATTGGGTATTGATCTTTTTAAATTATTCTAATTATATATATTCGGTTATTGACATGATCTTTTAGTAGGAATCTCTTAGAATCAACAGTAACATTTTAAACAAAAGTATTAGACAAATAAATTGAAGTTCTATATTTGAGACTGAACCCAACTCTAAGCAATGAAAACAACTGTTGAAACTATGCCGGACAAGTTAGGGTGTGTTTGGATAAGCAATGGGAGAAATTACTTTTTTTCAATCTGACTTTTGCATAAGTGAGATTAGATAAAAGTTAGATATGGTGATGTGATTTATGCACTTTTGTGGAAAAATCAGTTTGAAAAACTGAAACTTGTTTGGATGAATGATAAAAAAGTAAGTTTAAATACAAAATAATTGAAAAAAACATAAAATTTATTAAGTAATATTATAATAATAAGTTCTAAGCAATAAAATAAAAACAAAAAGATATATTTTTTTAAAAAAAATATAAACATTAAGTAAATAAATGAAAAAAGAGCATGGTGCTTTATTTTTTTTTTCCAATTTTACGTTAGTATTTACTTTTGCGATAATTTTTGTTCAGTATTTACTAAAAAAATATTATCCCTAATTAATCGTTCCACTTTTACAACATGTGAATGTCAAAAAAAAAAAAAACTATTAATGTCTAATATCATCATCTCTTCTCTTTCTTCTTTTCTCCTCTCTTGCGCATCCCACCATCCCTTACCCCAACCCCAACCGCTTCTCACTCCAAAAGCAAAAAAAAATAGCTTCTGTTCAAAAGTTCATTAGACCCCATAAGCCCATCACAAAAAGAAGTCAATCCAAACAATTTCAAAATCCCAAAAAAGTAGTTTTTACCGGTGGAAACGTACGTTTAAGCCACGAAACGCGATGTCAAAAACAGCCTTAGGGTGTGTTTGGATTAGCAGTGGAGAATTAACTTTTTTTTCAATCTGACTTTTACAGAAGTCAGATTGGATAAAAGCAGCTTTTTTAAGCTTATTGTATAAGTCCGTTTCAGTGACAGAAGTTAGATTGCAAAAATGTGATTCCAAACACATCTCCAATTAAAAAAGCTCCTTTTGCCGGTAGAGAAGTCAGTTTGAAGGTCCAGATGTGATTCCAAACACACTCTTAAAAAGGTCAAGAAGCGATTTCTCATAAAACGAAGATGTTGTATGTTGCCTGATGATCATGGACCGTGATGTAAATCTGCCTATTATGTGCTGAGATCTGGGTAACATGCCCAGCAAAATAAAACGGACACAGGAGCTAGCCTAGC